TTTTTTAAATAATTTTTTTTTTTTTTTTTTTTTTTTTCAGCTGTGGCCCCAGCCACAGGACTAATGTGATCAGCTGTCTAACAGTTCACGATTCGGACTCCTCCACCACCAGTCCTCTGACTCCCAAGCCCCAGAACGGTCACGCGAGGGTCCAGTCCTCACGACTCTTCAAATCCCTGGCAGTGGTGGCTCCATCTGTGAAAGCACAGCCTGTGGAAAGCTCAATATCAGCCAAAATCCCATCGGCTATAGGCAAGTATTAGCAGTTGTCCCATTTTTATTCACCATAGCTTGGTCAACAGTTCTTTATAAAAGAAATGCATCACTAAAAACTGCATTCGTCATGTTTGCTTCAGCTCTTCCACAGAATTACTACATAAAGCCTAAGAGAGCCGCTGTCGCAAGGCAGCCGAGCAGCTCTGGAGAGAGTGTCACTGACCACCAACAGGAGGAGCCCAGCAGATCTCAACCACTCAACCTCAGTCAGGTGACCGCTTCTGTCGATGCTCAGCGCCGCAGTGTATCTAGGGCCCTATGAAATCAGTTTCCCCAAATTCCGTTTTTTTTGGGGGTTTTTTTGTTTTCATTTTTCTGGATTCCATTTTTTTGTGGACCCCTTTTTAATGGTTAAATTAATTTGTATTAATCAAAAAGCATGTCTAATTAATTACAATCATGAAACTTATTACATTTTACATCAATTTATTAAAAGTTTAACAAAAACTACATGCCTAGGGCCCTATGAAATGAAAGTTTTATTGTTACCAAATTCTGTTTTAGCATGTCTAATCATTTGAATGTGTAAAAACAACTTAATTTATTAAAATTTATTCTTAAAATAGCCTTATGAAATGTTTTTTTTCCTCAGAAATTCTGTGTTGTGTGTTTACATTTTTCTGGTTATCAAATGAAGGCATACAACATTAATTTCATCTATCTTTTAATTATTGAAAATTAAACACTTAATTTTTGGCAAACAAAAGGGATTTACTGTTAACATTAAAACATGGCAGAAATATTGTGTGATTTATTCCTTAAAAACTGAAGTTTTAATCATTTTTGTAGTAGTAATAGTAGTAGTAGTATTATGTACATTCTACTGAATAGTAATATTTCAGGCACAATGTCTTCAAGTCAAACCAACCTCTAACCGTTGCAGTCTGTCAGTCTTATAATGGAAGTGGATGGGAATCACGGCTTTGAGAGTCAAAACAAAAACATACACAAACAAAACCAAATGAAACCCTGCGGCTCGTGACGATACATTGATGTGTAAAGACGCGAAACGATCGGTCTGTGCAAGAAACTGAACAGTATTTATATTGTTTTTTACCTCTGATGCACTGCAATGTCTGAACTGTCATGAGACAGCCGGCGCATGACGCGTCGTCGTCTTCTTGCTTTACGGCGGATCGCAGACTTATAAGTGCATTACCACCACCTATCTCTCAAATGGACCATTGACACACTATCTACAATCTCACTTGGATGCCCTGGGGGTAAGCAGATAAACATCACATTTTCATTTTTGGGTGACCTATCCCTTTAAGTGTAATGACCTGCTTTTGATTAACTCGTTTCAAATTGGACAAATTCCGTGACACCCCGCGTTGTACAGTAAATTCCGTTTTTATGATTGTATTCTGCGATTCCGTATGCGTTTTCCACATCGCAGAAATCATAGGGTTCTACGTATCGTAAAGAACATGTGGTTTAGTTTCCTGTTTTCCTACTATGCAGCCAGTCTTATCCCAAAGGACTCCATTGGAGGCGTGGTCCACGGACTCTCCGCCCACTACCAGCAACATTATCCCGCCCATCCTTACGTCAGCACCAGCACCATTAGAGGAGGCGGGGCTTACAGCGGCTATCAGCTGAGCCCGCGGAGGGTCCCTCAGTACCCCTACATATGAGACGCACAGACTGATTTTACGACCGACAGGCCTGCCGTCAACTGCTGCAACTGGTTTTATCTGTCCTATTTATGTTTTAGAATGTTAATATTTAGAAATCTATCATGTCATTTTGCGTCTGTTTACTGAGAAATTCAGTGAGTTAGGTGAGTTTATTTTCTTAGCTCAAGGAATGCTGACGCGTTTTTAATTCGTAAGCAATAGCGCGATTAATGCTGACATAAAGGAACAGGGATCGTGACGCCGTGTATTGTCTGTTCGACTAAAATCCTTACACTAATCGTTGACTTGTTTTAGACTCCATTTTGTTTTTAGATTCAGTGCCGTGTTTTTGTTGACGTAGGGTCTCTTTTGTTTTTAAGTTATGTTTGATTGTGAAGCCGACTGGTTCTCAACCACTTTACTGGAAGGTCAAGATGTGGAAAGAAAAAAAAATGTATTATGTGCCCTGGTCGTATTGTTATTTAAGTTAGCGCTATATGTTAGTCCTGGTAGAATCGTAGAGTGTATGTTGTGAGGAATATCAGTGAATACGAGGAACTTTTATTTTCTTTTAAATTTCAGTTTTTAGCTCAAATTGTTTAATCATGTCAGTACTCTCCCTGGCCAACGGGGGGGGGTTTTAACAGAAGAGCTGGGATGTCAAAGCCGAAGAAAATGTGATGCTACTTTGAATACCATAATTACACACCGATGATTGGTTTTCTGACATTAAGTGTGGTTAATTTGCAGCATATCTGAGTAGTCTGCTTTTCAAACTAGAGTACACCAAATATGTCTCGGACCCTTGACGGACAGTTAACGTGAAATCTTTGAAATTCTGCTCAAAATGACACTGTGACTGACCTCTACGGTCCTTCTTGTTCTGGTCTCAATAACATGATGTGCCTTGACATTCTCTCCAACATGTTTGGCAGTGTTTTTGAAGTTCAGAGAACATTTAGCATCAACCAAGAAAGTACTGTACACATTTTGTAATGTCAAGCAACGATGGAAAAAAAAAAAACATTTTTCCCCATTGTAATTCCATCAAATAAACAAAACATCAATTCAACTTTGTGTCTTGCTGTTTTAGCTTTAAACTTTTATTTCTTTTACAACCCAATCGTCTAGCTAGTCACTCTAAGCTAAG